GTTGGTTGGTTGGTTGTTGTGGTTGGCTCGTTGGCTGGTTGGCCGGTTGGTTGGTCGGGCTGGTTGGCCGGTTAGCTAGCTGGCTGGCTCGCTGGCTAGCAGGCTGGCGTATGTGCCTGCTGCGGCTGCGGCGGCTGCTGCTGCTGCTGCTGGTGGGCGGTGTTTCTTGTATTATTATTTGTATTTGTTGTTGATGTTGTTGTTGTTGTTGTTGTTGTTGTTGTTGCGGTTGCTCTTGCTGGTGCTGGTGCTGTTGCTGTTGTAGTTGCTGTTCGTGAGTGCTGTTGCTGCTGTTGTTGCTGGTGTTGGTAACGGCGGTGTAACGGATCCCAAGCTTTCCGGCCTGCAGGCCCTGTTACGGTGGCGCGACCTTGTCCTTGTTGTTGTTGTTGCTGCTGCTGTTGTTGTTAAAGAATCAACAAGCAAGAACGAAACGGACAACAGTAGTTGCGACAGTTCTTGACATCCATGACAAAAGCCAGCACGAGCAAAATACATAAAAGAAAGCAAGAAAACATCCTTGGCTTTCGATGCAGTAATGTTCCGGAAGCACTGCGTCTCTGCAAGTTCCTGCAACAAATCGAACAAGGCAAACTCCACACCCTGCGTAGCGACAATCGCTCCGGTTTCCTTGGTTTTTTCTGCTGCTGTTGTTGCTGCGTGGTGCTGGGGCTGGTGCTGGTGTGCTGGTGTGCTGGTGTGCTGGTGCCGGTGCCGGTGCAGCTGCTGCTGCTGCTGCTGCTGCTGCTGCTGCTGCTGCTGGTGGCGGCGGCCGGGATGGCGGAGGCAGAGGTGGTTGTGGCACTTTGTCATGTTTTGTTGTTGTCATGCTGGTGTGGTTGCTATTGTCGTCGGTGAGGGTGGGTTCATCCTCAGTTGTGTCTGTGCGGTTACATGGCTATGACTATGACCTTGAACTTGCCCAAAGTCTTAACCTTGACCTTAACTGCCTTAACTTGTCCACTGAGTCATCAAACCTGACATGTGGAGAGCCTTAGAAAGTCCGAAGATGACTTTGCCAAGGCTGCTTCTTTTCGCTCGGAGTTCTCCACAATTCGCTCGGCCTGGGATTGCAGTCTTGGGACTCTGCGCTCCGAGCTGAGCGCTGTTCGAAAAGACCTCGACAGCTTCAAGTCCGAGAGCAGCAGCATGGATGGTGCTTTGCGTTCCGATCTAGACACCCACCGAAGTGAGTTCGGCACTTTGCGCTCTGAGTTGAATCCAGTGCGCTCGGACATCACATCGTTGCGGAGTGAGTTGGACTCGTGCCGTGCCGACATCACTACAACGCGAACAGAATTGGGTTCGCAGGGCACGGACTTGAAGACACTCCGGACAGACCTCGGGTCAATCCGCACCGACCTCGGGTCGCTCCGCACGGACTTCAGCTCTCAACGAACAGACCTCGGGAACAGCCTGAACGGCCTGCGTGGTGACCTGAATTCCTTCAGATCGGATGTGGCCTCATGGCGCTCGGACATGGAAAGCCATGTCCAGGACATTGCAGTTCTGAAAGTGGAGACCGAGTCGAGCCGCAGCTTGATCAAGTCCGTCCAGCAGCTTGTCAGATTTATCCTACCGGTGCGAGCATGGGACTCTGGGCCGTTTTTTGACCGCATCGTTCTTTGCAAGGTCCAGCGCGGAGCAACATGCCACTGACTTGAGCTCGTTGCGCTCGGAGATTGACCTCGCACGCTCCAGCATTGCGGCCCAAAGGTCTGAGCAGGACTCCTGATTCTGCAGGCTCTGAGCAGCGACAGGGGATGGAAGCATGCTTTTCAGGAGTCCCAACACTCAGAGGTGAAATCGTTGCGATCGGAGCTCACCCAATCGTTGCGATCGGAGCTCACCCTTGACATTAGCAAGGCCTGGGGCGGGTTTTGAAGCGCCGTGAACTTGAATTACTGCTGCTTCCTGATTCGCGAGGTCAGGAAGGACCACGCCGACCTGCGTAGTGAGATGCACAAAGATGTGGCAGAGCTGCGGAAGGACTGAGAGACTTCTGTTATTGCTGTGTCGAAGTAGTGACATAGTGCTTGTTCCTGGCATGTGACTGTTTAGGAGGCCATACAGGGACTCTCCGAGAAGCAGGATGCCATTGACGACTTTGTCAAGGACAGAGGTAACCATTGCTGGCTTGCTAAATAGCACTTCAGATACAGACGCCGCCCTTTCAATTCTTTCCCTCCCCAAAATCTCGAAAGCTCCAAAAGTGATGCGATCTAGGATGTGACTGGCCTCCGTGGTCATGTCAGCGACTTGAGAAAGGACCGCAATCTCGCCGCTTCAATCATAGCACCGAGGTCCAGGAGCAGCGGGTGAGTTAGTTCGTTCGAATGCAGGAGCTTTCCTCCACACAGGGGCAGCTGAACGACGTGCGCAAGGCTTTGTCATAATGTCGTAGATGGATATGTGGTTAGTTGGGCAAGAACTAAGGAGCTTTCCTCATCACAGGGCCAGCTAGGTGACGTGCGGAAGGCAAGGATTGCGTCCCGAATTGCTCGAGCCATTGAGTCGGACTCCAGGAGATGTCGTCTACGCAGGGGCAGCTCGCTGACACACGCAAGGCCCGGCCATGATGTGTGAGGGTTTTCAGACCTCGCCCGGATGCTGGCAACATTGGAGGACGTTTCGGCCACGCAGGCACAAGTCAACGACTTGAAGAAGGACCTCACAGCTGCAACGTCTCCAAACGGCTGCCTGTCCCTTTTGCTCCTGCTCTGCAGGACGGAGCTTCATCCAGAAGTCAGGTCACTGACCTACTCAAGGTGACGAATGGGAACAGTTTGCCAGACCGGAGTGGATGCCAAAATGGAAAGTAGTTCAACCACGATTACAAGCACTTCCCACAGGAGTTGCGCTTGCTGCAGAGTCAGCAAAGCGAATTTGCGAAGGCACAGGCACCAACCGATGAGCAGCATAATTTGTTTGACAATGCTTCCAGTGACATGCCCGTCGAAGCCTCCAAGCAGGATCTAGCCACTGCTCAGGGCATGGTGAAGGACTTGCGGCAGGCCTATGCCTCAAGAGTACCTCAAAGCAAAGTTGAGTAGCAGATCCTCTGATCTGCTGGTGTTGGAGGACTTGAGTGCAACCCAGGGGCACATCACCAGCCTGCAGAAGGCGGCTTCTGCCACAGTTCGCGAGTCTTAAGCTTCCTATCCACTACTGCCCTCTGTTTCGAGACACTGCACACGCGGGGCCTCTGCCATCGCAGGAAGGAGGCAGTTGCAATAGCCGCCTGACAGGAGACTGTGTCCATAAAGACCGACCTCGTGTCCACCAAGGGCGACGTCACGAATGTGTCCAAGGACAGGGCCACATCACCAAGAGCCGACGGAACAAGAGCATCGTCTCCCCCGTCACTTAGGATGCCGTTCTAAACCCCCGCGTCTTGTGGTAAGAGTAGGGCCGGCATTAGGGTTTTGCATGGTGGTTAAAAACCCTCGCGTGCGCGCAAGCTCGCGCAAGGGCGGGCGCAAGATATATAACATAATAACATATGTATTGTATTCATATATGTGGGTTTGTATTGGATAATGTTGTCGTGAGCGCAAACCCCTGCGCGCGCAAGACGGCGCAAGGGCGGGCGCAAGCACTGTCCTAATGCCTGGGCATGGCTCCTTTAATTTAGAACAACATCCTAACCGTCCTAACCTGCATCCAGCGGTCCAAAGCCGTTTATGCCTGGCCTGCCAGAAAGCAGAGTCTCCAACACTAAGCACTTTCAATTGCGATTTAGCGGGTCAATAGCCTGAAATACCCGCCACGATACTGTGCTGGGTTCAAGCCGTAGTCAGTGAGATTTGCCAGACACCGGTGAGCAAGCGTTGCAAGACCAGCGCTAAGCATCCCCTAAAGCCGTGGTTGGAGTGACACACCCTTGTGCTTCGGCCCGTAGGGTGAAGAAGCCAGCCTCCAGATCGAAGCATGCCCACACCCGGCACCGCCTTACATCAACCTGTAGGTAGCATGGCAAGGGATGGAGCTCAATCTTTCTCTAAACTGCCTGCTTCGAGTCTCGCGAATCGCGCAGGGTGGAGCATGTAGTATTGCCAATGAATCAGCTAGCTTAGTGTTGTGTTGCTAAGTTGCTTCAAAGTTCTGAGTCCTGGAGCAATCTGCACTTGACAGTTAACCCCCACCCTATGTTTTGTAACTTTGAACCTTGGAAGAAGCATTTCAGCAAAACAGAGTTCAGATTGCACGACAGATCAGCATCGACCCGAGACAAGCTGTAGGATGATCCGGAATGTTAAATGTTGATCGACAACGTCGCCAAACGTGCCGTAGGCAAAAGTAGTAGAGGCAGCAGCTTGCAGGAGACTCTGTCCAACAAGAACGACCTCTCGTCCTTGAAGAACAACCTCAACGACATCTCAAAGGACAGGTCTGGTTCCGTCATTTCAGAACCTTTACGTGGAATCCCAAGCACGTGGCCCACACGTCCCCTGTGAGGTGTGTCTGAGTGTGTTGTTTGTTCACAGGATGTGAAGGAGTTGCAGGGCACAGACAGAGGCTTGCAGGAGGCCCACTCTGTAGGGCTTCGCCTGCTTGCAGCGACCTGCCAGTATTCTCGGTGCCTTATGTTGCGAAGCAAAGGAAACTTCCGAGACAAGAGCCCACCTGAGCAAGTTGCAGCAGGACAGCATCGAGGGGGTGCCGAGGTTGCAGCCCCGCAGGCTCATGCTTCGTACATTTACATGCAAACATGGCAGCTGATAGGAAGTGTAGTCACTAGCCCGTCTTGACATGCATCCAACATCCAATCCGCAGGAGCTCGTGCAGTCGCAGACGGAGCTCGTTCAGTCGCAGACGCGCCTCCACACCTTGGAGAAGGAGACGGCGATAGTGGAAAGATGTGCAGCAACAGACTATGCACCGAGCAGACAAGAACAAAGCTGTTTAAGCTCGATTCTGTGCTGCCGCGATGTAATCTGCCCGTGTCGAGGAGATCGCAACAACGACACAGCTGACGAGCTCGCTCCAGCAGGAGTCGCGAAAGTCTTCTGAGGACCATCGATCCGGCGAGTCAACTTAGCTCTGCTGCATCTCCGATGCTTGCATATTCTGCGGTCCGACGACGAAGGGCTGCAACGAAAAGTGTTCAGCCGTCAGCCATGCAGGAGTTGGTGGCCGTTCAGTCTTTGGCGACTGATTTGAAGAGCTCTGTTCATGATTTGCAGAGCTCGGCGAATCATTCGCGGCAGGCCTTCGAAGTGCGTCGATATCTGTAACAGTCTATAATATAGTGCGAAGTACGCGAGTTGAACCGAACTGACGAATTGAAAACAGCTGTGCTCACGTGCAAGGGCATTGATGCCACAAACAGCTCACTAGATGATCTCCGCAAGGCAGGGCATTCAGCGAGTTTTGTTTTGCAGTTGAGCCGAACTGACGAATTGAAAACAGCTGTGCTCACGTGCAAGGGCATTGATGCCACAAACAGCTCACTAGATGATCTCCGCAAGGCAGGGCATTCAGCGAGTTTTGTTTTGCAGACATTGTGATTCATTTGGGCCAGGAGCTGCCAGAGTTTCACGGTGCTCTGAGTCATTTCAGACAGGCGTGTTGGTGGGGAAAGGGTTAACACTTGCGCAGTGGCATGTTTCAAGTCCACCCTGGAAGTTTCAGGAAGTTGCCGAGAAGGGCAGCCAGTCGGACATGTTGCATCAGGCACCAAGATGGTCTTGCCGCATCCCCTCGTTGAGTCCTACGTCCTATGCATGTGCAGTCCTAGGCCTTACAAGCGGAGCTGGAGCAACTCCGCAGTCAGGCAGCTGAGGTGAGAAAGGCCAGCTTCGGCTTTAAATTAGGGTTTAGGGTTTAGGGTTTAGGGTTGGGGTGGGTTGCCGGGTGTTGCCGTTCTTGTCGCGAGGATCTCACCACTTTCTTCCAGATGGAGCTGGCCGGTGTGCGGAAGGTTCCCGTGTCCAATGCTCCTGTTTCACAAGAATCACACAGATCTTTATCTTACAGGACTTGGGTCAGCAAGGAGAAGATCTGCAAGGCGCTTTGGTTTCCATGCAGGCCGGGGCCAGGGATTCTGGCACCAGTTTTTGGGAAAGCAGCCGAGAGAGACTCGCAGGAGTGTTCACAATTTTTTACAGAATGGCTTTTCAGACTTTCATTGCGCACGCCAGGTCAGAATAAAAGAGGAAGCTGCTGCCGAAATCAGGCTTTGTTTGTTATACACACAGCCCGACGGACAAAGGAAGTCGCACGTTCAAAACCAGTGCACTACTGAACCTGCACAGGAAGCTGCAGAGTGATGCCAGTGCTGCGCATCGAGAGGTGCGCCCATGCCAGCCCTGCAGAGCAACTATACTAATCTTTGTTCGTTCTACACCTCGAGGTAGATAGTTCTGTCCGTGTGTCGTCGGTGATCACCTCTCGTAGTTCGGATGTCGGCGGCACTCACCCGATCCCAGGTTACCAGCATGGTCCAGCAGACGGCGCAAAAGCTCAAGGACGAGGCTCTGACCGGAGAGTGGCCATGCGCAGCGGGACCACTTCTGTGCAAAGATGTGCCAAACTGAGAGGCTGGACAAATGTCCTCGGCACTGCAGGCAGCACAAGAGGTGCCTCCGCCAGAACGAACTCAGCAAAGCTTAGCCTTCTCTCAGCTTGGCCTTTGAGGACGCTGCTGACCTGCGATGCGAGGTGCACGAGGAGACGCACGTGTTCAAGCCCTGCTAGTCGTAGCCGTTTTTGTCGTTAGTCACGCATCCTGCCAGGCCTGCAGCGCCATCGAAGACCAGCGACGGGAGGTGGGGGCCGGTGCCAAGAGGGCAAAGAGTATGATCATGCTGGCGTGCTGACAGGTCGATGCACATCTCTCCATGCGAATCACTGAGGCACCTAAACAGACATGAGTCCATGTGGCCGAGACGTCAGCTCTTCGACAGGTGCAGGAGCAGCTCGAGAGGGAGTTCAAGGTCAACTTGGCATGTCAAGAAGTTCTGCAACCCATGAGCCTCCGCGAAAACACACACACACACACGGACGGGGTGTGGGCAGAAGCTTGGTTCTACAGGAGTAAGCTTCGCTGTGGTTCTTCTTGCCAGGTTGCAGACGCCAACTTGCATGCGGAAGTGGCAACCGCTGCTGCAAGTGGGCTAGCATGTTGTCTGAACATGGCCTGTCTCACGCATGGATGAGCCAGAATTGCCAGGTGATCGTTACAACGTTGGCGTGGAAATGGAGCGGCTGCGAGCCGATCTGGTCCAGGCATGCGGCATACACTGTATTGATCTCTATTGGCTTTGGCTTGGCCCTCTCACCTCGAGAGGTGGACTCGTTAAGAGCGACGATTGCCCAAGTTCAGGACCGATAGGTTCGTGCAAGACTCTAACTTTTCCCCGAAAGTGAAAGCATCGGATGCCTGCCGACATGGCCTCATTCCAAAGGATTGCACAGGTGCCTTGTAACAATAGGTGCCCGATTCAGAGCAACATCCACGTGGGGGTTTCCGACAATAGGGGACCCTAATATAGTACCCCAAATAATAGGATCCCTATTATAAGGACCCAAAATAAGGTACCCCAATTTTCGGAAACTCCCACGTGAGCTCATGAGCAACAGGAGCTGACGAGCCGGGCCGGCTTCCGACTTAGTGAGCGAGGAAGCGGGTCGTTCTTTAAACTAGGATCCTGTTGGGGTCCCTTTTTTATAAGGGTGCCACACTATTTTGGGGGCCTCAAAAAGGGTCCCTTTTATGGCAGATTCAACACGGACCTTATCCTGTCCTGAGGCTCCCACGAGGTTGTTGCAACATTGAGCCGTGCACCAAGTGTGGCTGGAAGCAGTTGAATAGTAGTAGTTTTTGAGGCAAGGGATCCGCTCGTTTGAACCATCAGGAATAGACCATGCCTTCCTCCAAAACTTCATGCCAGCTGACTACGAGTTCCCCCTGGTGGCCAGCAGGCGCCACATCATCTCGCATCCCAAAGATGGATGCTTCTCGGCTCCGTTTGGCCATGCACAACGACCTTGTGCCCAAAAGGTGCATGGTCCGTCTGAAGCCCAACCGCAAGGCGTGAGTCACCGCACTGCGGCACCAGCTTGGTGACTGTCAGGGCACAGGGGCAGGGTCTGGAAGTTGTTCGGAATCCGAGAACTTACTTAACTTTCAAGCCATGCGGTGGGAACCTGTTTGGCTCACAGCTTGTTTCACCCCAGCCTTGACTTCGCCATGGCACAGAAAGACTTGGCGCTTGCCGCAAATCGGCAAAGTTTAGCTCCTGCAGCACTTGTCCCGAAATGCCCGCTTGTCTTGGTGCTGACTTTGTTGTACCGAGGAAGTACCGAAACGGGAGCGAGACGCACTGCAGCCTTCAGCAGCACTGGAATTGGCAAACTACGCTTCAATCTTTGAGGCTCCTCGGAACAAACCCGTCGTTGTGCGTCCACTCCTGCATGTCACCGGTCACATGTCGGCACTGTCAATGGTTGTGTGATGGCACCTGCCTGCCAGAGCGCAGAGCCGTACCTGCTGGACCTCTATGCGGCTATTTGCCACGATGCGAACGAACAGCCGAGTCTCGACAGTGCCAGGCAGTTCTGGGAGCAACCTGGCCAGCAATTCAAGTCGAGAGAGCATAGACAAGTTCCATGAAAAAGACTTGTGCCGTCAACGAAAGCACACATGAACACACTAATGCCTCCAGATTTTTTCAGCTCAGACGCTTTGGCATAGAAACAGAACCCCTGCTTGTGGAAGATCATGGCCCGCTCCAGCTCCGTTGCTGCCCCGCTGCTGTTCATCGCTGCCGCCGCCTACGTCTTGAGCTGCTGCAGGTTTGCGCCGTCCTTCGTGGCACCCCCCAAGGCTGCTGAAGCGGCTCTGCAGCAACAGCAGCAAGCCGCAGTCGTGAGCGCAACGCT